AAATGTACCTGTCTTCCACTTTTGTGTGAGGACCTATCCGATGCAATCGACGGCCAGCGGCTCTGAGAAGCGGCGATTGACGGCCGACGACTCTCTGGCGCAGCGCCGGATTGCAAGCTATTCTCCCGGCTCCCGCAGGTAATTGATGGAGAACGACTGTTTGAATCCGAATAGTCATATTCCGACGAAAAACTGGAGGCGCAGCTCCATATATACTCGTTATCCAATACAGATATATCCACCACCTACACCTCCCACAGAACCCAATCCTGGGAGGCGGTTCTATGCGGCAGATCATGAGTTATAGAATTTCTCCACGGCGGCGTTGCGNCAATACAGATATATCCACCACCTCCACCTCCCACAGAACCCAATCCTGGGTGGCGGTTCTATGCGGCAGATCATGAGTTATAGAATTTCTCCACGGCGGCGTTGCGCCATTAGCCCTCAAGAATTTACCTCCTCTAGTTCTCAGTTTCACTTTATACCCTTCCTTTATGGGCTCCCATTCTACTGAATTATCCTTCATTGTTGCCGGAACTGTTTGCTGAACCTTTTTTCCAGTCATGCCGAGGAGAAAAGACTCGTCGGTGGCGGTAAGATACTTCCCGTGGCAGCCCTTGAGGCGGATTACGTGGGGATTCCCTTCCACAAGCTCCACCGTCCACCGTGCCTTCTTGGAGGCGCCGCCGTTGCGGCTTTGTCGGACTGTTTGTTCATCGTCGTCTGCTACTAAGTACTTGTCGAGATGGCTTTTGAGTCTAACAGCTTTGGCTTTGTTGAAAAACTCCATTAATTATCTGTTGTGGAAAGCAAGTTTTGTTTCTTGTTCTTATACTTTTGCTGGTGGGATTTTGGTGATGGATTATGCTAAATGTACATAATCTTTTATACAATCCTTTACACTCCTCTCACATGGAGGGGGGTCCACACACAATAAAATATTCGTGGATCCCCTTCCATGTGAGAATGATGTAAAGAATTGTGTAAACTATGGAGTCTACATGTAGAACAATCCTTTTGTGATTATAAAGGAGATTTCTGGGCGATTTCGATGAGTTGACTCGGAAGGTTCGAGGATGGTTGAAGGCGATGTAAATATTGACCTGGTTAATGAATATTGAAATGCAATTTGAGGTCATTTGAGTTGACTTGAATGTTCAGCAACGCGGTTGGTTGTGCCAAATCAAACAGCCACAGTCCTCTTTATTTTTTCTAATTTCTTTCGAATAAAAAAAAAAAGGCTGCACGTACGTGCCACGTTGGCCCGTACTATCCCCATGGCACGTACGGTATTGATATATGCGGAGTTACATTACTTTTTATACTGTAATAATGTAGAAAAATGTAGCGTTCTCATCATGTCATGAGAGGAAGTTCGTAGTGTTTTACCTACGAGTACGGATAGAAGATGACTTCATATAATATTGACAAATGACAATTATCATTCATAATCAATTTTGCAACCAATAGCTAAATGGGATTTTTTTTGAAAATGTATCAAACAATACAATACAAATTTATATCAAAAGAATACGATTTTATATCAAATTAGAAACCGAATTAGCAATCGAAATCTGTTGGTGATTAGGACGAACTTAATTCTTAGCTAATTTGTGATGAAAAAGTTGTTGCTAATGTCGTTGTTGAAGCAATATGTCGTTAATTATCAACAGAAAAATTTGTGGCTAATATGTTGGTAATTTGCTACGAATTCTCTACTGTAGGTAAATTAGCGAAGAGTATTTCACTAACTAATTTGTCGACTGATCGATTCTATCACTGAATACCATTAGCTGCAGAATTTAAACCATTAACAACGGGAAATCTCATCTCCGATGTCGCATTTTTCTGTAGCGATATTTCTACTTATTCGAAAGGATTGAGCTTTAATTATTAATTTGTGTTTGTATTAAGAACATGGATCAATAGAGAGATAACTACTGCCATTGATTCAATGCCAACAAGCATCAAAAGTGTGAC